CCATCGCTCGAGTGGAACCCGAAGGAGGGGCGGCGAGTTGGTCGTCAGCGCAAGGATGACGTGGAGGAGGTCATGTGAAGAGGAGATGAAAGCATGTGGATAGACGTGTAGCCAAGTGAAAACATTGTCAGAGAACCGAACGCAATGGAGACATGCGTCTGAAACTAAGGGAAACAATGATAATAATAGCAATAATAATAATAAATGCTTAAATAAGTGTATGCATGCAGCCTAATGAATAATCCCCACTTTTAAAATCGAATTATCATTCAGTTATGATATCTTATGATTCAGTAAATTCAGTTTAATGAGTTAACATAATCTCAGCTTTTATTCATCAGTAGTCAGCTAAGAATTTAATCTATCTACAGGGTACTGTTTTTCAGAAAAGAAATACAATCAGAAGTATATTATGAAAGGTGCGCATAACCATGAAATGATGTGTTCTAAAGAGTTTTTCTCAAATTGTAAAACAATAGATGGTTGTTTATCATTAGTCTGAAAATTTTGGAGAAGGAGGGTACTGGTGGGTCTCAAAATATGCAAGTATATATCCTCTAACTCACGATGTACTTGTTCTGTATGACCAAATAACAACCAGTCGGAAGGGGAACCACAACAGTAGTTGGAATCGTCCGAAATACCATATATATATATATATATATATATATATATATATATATATATATATATATATATATATATATATCCGAGAAAGAAACGTAAGACAGTGATATCTGCTCGTTCCAATTTGTTGAAGATGTGAATCAACTCCATGTACATTACAAAATCATGGTTTCCTTCAATATGATTTCTCTATTCACGCAGATCTCTCTACATGAGACATTAGACATCATCTGATCTTCTTCCTCTACCAAAACTGGAATTTAAGCAGCTTCTCGTGCTATGTATTATTGATATACAATTCCAGTTTGACAACAAAATGTATCGCCAGGTTGATGGTATGGCAATGGGCAGTCAACTGGGCCCGATATTATCTGATATCTTTATGGCCAGTCTGGAACAGACAAAGCTCAAGTGTGCGATTGGTGAAACAACAGCCTACTACAGATACGTTGATGACACATTCATTATATGCAATGATTTGAGTCACGCTTTGTCTCTATTAGACTTTTTCAACAATGTACACGAAAACATCACTTTCACGATGGAGCATGAAGATGATGAAAAATTCCATTTTCTGGACGTAAAGTTGGAGAGAAAATATGACGGGACAATCGAAAGATCTGTATATCGTAAAGACACATGGAGGTGTCTTTACTTGAATTTCAACAGCTTTTGCCCAGTGAGATACAAACGAACGAAAGAGAATATGTTCACCAAACAAACTAGACAGTGAACTAATGCTTCTTGAAAAATGCTTGAAAGAAAATGGTTACTCACAAGGTTTCATTAACAAATATGGCAAGAATGAACTCAAGAAGCTTGATACAACTACAGTCAGTAAGAAGCCTATTTTCATCGAATTCGATTACAAGGGTGACGACATTATGTGAATGGTAAATAAAAAATTAAGCGCAACCCTGTCTAGGGCGTATCCTGCAGCGTTATTAATCTCTCTATCCCGAACAACCTCTTCATTGGTGCAGTCAAAGATTGACAAGTACCCCTCACATGTTACCCCCAACTGTGTATACCAATTCACATGTATCTGAAGCAGCAGTTACATCAGAAGAACAGAGAGGAGGGCCTACGTCAGACTCTGCGAACATGTACCAAGGAGCCTGCGGTTAAAGGGACCGAATTGTCTAAGCTCTTCAATCGCCAAACACCTCATTGACACAGGACACCGAGTAAATATGGTGGAATCATTCAAAATAATTAACAGACAAAGTATCTCAAGTCTTTTCAGGTTTGCTAAAGCTATAGCAATAAAACGATTGAAGCCTGACTTATGTGTCCAAAAATAATCCGTTGTTTGACTTCAATTACCCTGGTGACTCACTTTTTACTAACTTTTTGTTTTCCAATTCTGTTAATTTTGTTAGCTTATCTATCCACCCCCTTTTCTTTTTCGCTTGACTCTCTTAAGAGATAATTTTTCTTGATCTTCTGAGTTCTGCTCACTTTATTACATCATCACCTTCTCATATGACCTCATGTGCACCGAAAATTTAAAATTTTGATCTATTATCTAATTACATAACTATTACTAATTGTCGTTTGTTACCACCCCAACAACACAACTGTTAGTTAATTTTTTTAAGAAACTTCTCTCTTACAAGATATACATGTCGTAGCACTTTAGACACCCTGTAAATCGCAAACGCCTTATTCCACTATGACGCTCTGACAATATGCTTGTTAATGGACAAATGTTGTGAGCAGCTGATGAGAACCAAGGAAATAAAATGGATCCAGATTATTCTGCGTCAATGTTTCTTCTTTCTTTGTTGAGATATCTATTTAGCTAACTAGGGTGAATGCGGGAACAACTGAACTTAATATAACAGTGTGCCATATGGTCTGGATGATTCTTGGCGTACCATAAATCTAACCAATCGAATTAAACAATGAGGGCGAAAACCTGATGTTGAGTGGTGAAAGCTAGAAGCTAGTAAATTTGTGGAATTATTTACCAGTAAAAGACTAATCAGTGATGGGGAAAAGATGTTTTGCTGCTCACATTTGAAAATCGAAGATATTATGAACAGATTAATATTACAATTTTGGATAAAATGTCTCTCCCTTCGTTACTCGTCCTACATTTCGTAACATATGTTTACACTGACAGTGATAGGGCGTTTTCATTTCCCTTTAGACATATTCATAAGTGAATAATTCTGTCAGTCTGGTACATATGTAATTCATATTTACAATGCAATTAAATCCACTCTCATAAGTTTCATCGGATGGTAAATATTATGCTCAGTGCTGGTTACAAGCAATATTCAATAACAGCATAAATCTTGATGTTACGTGAAATTACACCGATGAATGTTTATGTTTAATGAGAGAAGTAAAGTTAGACCAAGTCAGAGGCTTCATTAGTAGAAAAACAGATTAGCAATATCTGAAAACACAAAATAATCGAGCAAAGAATATCCTTTTGGATAAATTCCTCTTCTGGCTCTACAATTATATGTATGTTTATATACATAGAATATTCTAGATTAGTAGTCAATATCAATATTAGTGTTTTGTAAATAATATCCATTCGTTAAATAAGATCAATGGAATTACAATTCATTAAAGATGCTTAAATAATAATAATAAATAACATAATAGCAAATAGAATATCCACTAAAATTAGGGAAATTTCTACAAAAATTGAAGATCATTCGACCCTAGATGGCCAAGGTAAATTAGGCTTCTTAATGTGGATCCCAAGGGCCTCAGCAAATATTATGTAGTAGACGAACTCTAAAGGATAATTTAAGGTTTGTTAGTATGTGGTAAATAGCCTTGAAAACCTGGTCAATATCACTTTTGTGTTCTGTATCCACAAGATGAGATAGAATAGCACTGCAAATAGATTTTGTTTGTCCTTTAACTTAACCACACAGGGTGATGTTCGGAAATTCGACGAGAAACACTCCTAATTGTACGGCCTATGTAACTGACTCCACAGGAGCAGTTAAATTGGTAGATACACATGGAAGAGGCGAAATCAGGTAGTTTGTCTTTTACTCCCGAACGCAAAAGAGCAGTGGTTTTGAAGATACAGCGTAAGATATTTGAAAACACTACCAATTTCAATAGGGTTTAGCCATTTCCATTGTATGATTATTATTTATGTACACCTCAAGGCTGGCTCAAACTGTGAAGTAATGTTATTAAAGTTGAAGAAAAATGTGTCAGGTATGTCCCACTGTTTTATGCCATGATTCCCCTTTAAATCATAGGGAGTGAAAGTTAACGAAACGAAGGGTAAATAAAATTAGATATTAAAATGTTAAGTTTGTGGGGTGAAAATTTAAAATTTTTTGTAAGTTTTCATATTTCTAATAAATGAAAAATGTAATTGAAAAAAACTTGTGTACTACTAGTGTAATTTTCTTTCGTGATTTTAACTTTGATGGAAGTCAAGCCCTCAAATGGGAATTTGTGGAATGTACCCCTTTATTCTTATTCTCTTGGGGTTCCGAGTGGAACATATAGCTTCAACAGCACATCTCCATTCCACCGCTCTCTATATTCCTCTTTAGCTGACTTCATGATTGCCTATAACGTCTCATCTCATCTTCACATGGTCTCCTCCATGTCACTCTAGAACCAAAGGTCAACTTATCATCTGCCATTTGGGTTCTATTCGATAACCTGACTGGCACGTAATGTCATTGACTTTTCTGTGTGTCTCCAACCCATCTTCATATCCCTCGGCACACTTGTTAGGCAATAGGTTCTTGGTTGATTCCTTCCCAGAGTTCCCTGTTGCTTGTCCTTTCTGTCTGACCATTCGATATTCAGTAAGGACAGAAATCAACTGTGTTGATGAAAATGTCTTCAGTAGCCTACTGGAAGTGCTTTTAGTGAACCATGTAGAAGAACTACTTTGACACTGATGTTGAAGATCCGAATTTCGATCTTTATGCTGAGTGCAGCAGATTTCCAAAAAGATTTTAGAGTAATGAAGGTTTGTTTAACTGGCTTCGATGTCCTCATCCCTGCTCCCACATGTAATTGAAATGAGGTTACCTAGATAAGCGAAATAGGTGATCTCTTTCACATGTTTCTCACTGATGGTGATTAGTGCTTGTTGCTGTTGTTATTGGTGGTTGTTGATTTGCCGGTTACCTTCACCTCTGTTTCCTCTATATTTACTTGAAATCTTGTCTTCTCTGCTTCTGCTGCTAACTTCTTGAAGTTTATGTGACATTAGACATTAGATGTACTACTAGTTCTATAATATCATTAACTGCATTAATAATAATTTTCTTATTCGAAAGGATAGTACATGATTAAAGATAAAATTTGAATTGGTAAAATATGATTTATTAAGACAGCCCTTAAAACAACCACAAAATTTACTTACTTACTGAGTTTTAACAGACTGAAGAGGACTCCATTAGTTCGAATTGGAACTCCTGTATAATATGAACACTATGTTACTTGAACAATTTTCTTCGTCTGAATTCATTTTCCTTGGACTGTCGCAATTAGCAGACCAGGTGTTCAGTTTTACACATTAAGAAAATAAAATCTCTCTTTTGTCAATGCAATTTCACTTGTTTTTATTATTGACGTTTCAAAAGCTGATCTCAAAACGAAGTGTGATAACATTTCTAGAGTCATCAGACAGATGTTACATTCTCATTCTAGAACTCTCTGGCAGCGTGAATCCATGGCCCAGCTGATAAAAATTCAGCATACAACCGTCAGATTGTAGGTTTAGCATGATATTCTCCAGCCACTTCGTCTTGGTCTTATGGGTCATACTTTTCAAATTCTATTTCTGGTATGTTTACCTTCCTATGACGAAGTATGAATTCTACGTGATCAAGGAAAAAATGGTTGATGTTTTGCTAGTTATATATAATTTTCAAGTGGAATATTCTCTTCATTCTACAAATATTTATTTTGTCTTATATTATAGCATGATTCCACTGTTTATTTATACTTAATATTATTGCGTGTACACAAATCGAAGCGGGTGTAGGTGTACTCCAGTCGCTTAGACAAACAGAAAAAAGAAAAAGAAAGTTTACTAATACAGAAACTATCTTAATACTTCAAGTCAATAAACTAAACCTCTCCAGTGTAAAATAATTGAAAGCACTAATTACTATCGGTAAATAATTTGAACAGGGCAAATCTTAACTGTATTGCATTTGTATCATTAAAAATGAATTCTTTCTGCTAACATTGTTATTATTTGTGCAAGTTTCTGTCTTCAGAAAGTAGATAGATATAATCAATAACTTAAGGATTTGTATTAACTGTTTTTTATCGAAAGAGTCCCAAATTGGGACGAAACAACCATCCATCATCCTCTGGTTTGCAATGACTGTCTAATTGATGTCGATTCGTGATATAAGTTAAGGTTATTTTTATTATCCCCAGTCACTATAAAGATGGTCTTTATTGTTGCGCAAGAGATGGCTGCTGTGGCCCTGGTGGATAACGCTTTGGCTTCTCAAACAACGGGTTAAGAATAGCATCGCTCACTGGAGGTCGCCAGTACATCCAGATGACAAGTCCCAAGGAGTATGAAGTCAGTTATCTCGATTCCACTGCTGATCACCATTGACCAAAATTTTGAAAAAATGTTTTCACTCAGTATCGTTCAGATTAACAGTTTGTCTTAGGCTGATTGACATCGAATTCAAAGAATTACACGGAAATTAACATGTAATGAGTTCCAAAATACTTCGCATGTCTTGTTGCACACATTTTTTTGGCGTGTAAACAGTGTGTAGCATATATGAGATTAAATCACATAATATTAGTTAAACTATAAAGAATATGAGTAAAAGTGATTTAAGACTCTTCACAGGGTACTCAGTTATGTAGTCGACATCCTGATGAAGAAAAACTATCATTGAAGTTGTTTGATTTCTCTTCAAGTGTATACATTCCCAAGTGTTGGTTTGTGTGAAGTTCTAGTTGGTAGTCGAGACCAACGGCCTTCGCCATGTTGGATTTGAGGATAGATACTCGCTGGTGACATTGGCGAGTATGGCATTAGATGGCACAAGTTAGAAGTGACGCGTCACTGGATTTCGTCTCAGTGCCTAACTGTTAGGTGAGATAGCCTTGTAGTCTGAAGCTCTAGGTTCAGACCTTTAGTGCAGTTATGAGTGAGTACTGCTGAAGACTTCTGAAGAAGAACGAAATAGCCGTTCAGTACTCTGTGGTTTTGAATGATTCTCCAACTGAAGTCAATTCATGATCAGGCTTGATACATACTTTTTGTTTATTTGAGTAAAAATTATTTCAGTGTCATACCAGAAGTCAATTTCCTACAACTTTCCTTAGACATTTTGAATATTTCAAATAGTGAATTCTGCAATGTAATAACTAGGATATAATTAAATCTACTTCAGAGTAACTAGTCCCTGCAAACTTTGATAAAGAATATTCCAGTTTCAATATAATTTATAGCCAAAGTTGAAACTGTCATGAAATGTTCACTTGTGAATCTGTTTACTCCTAAGTGTTAACAAAAATGTGTTGTCGTAGTGCGTACTGTGTTCTCCAGTGTACAAGACTGCAATTTTCTTCACTGTGATTTTCTCTTTTGGATTGAAGAAGTCAACAGATGAAAATGACTTGGATCTAAGCTTCGTGTTTATTGGTGCTTTCCAGTAAGATGTACCTGAAAACTATTTAAGTGTGTGTGTGCCAGTGGTGAAACTCAGTAACATGGCAACCAACACAACTGTGCCGAAGTTTATGTTGACTTTAGAAGTAACCAGAACTGGAATGAAACTGGACACAACAGAATAAGGTACAGACGAACACATCCAAAAGTGAAAAAGATAACTAAAAAAACACATATATAGCATTTTAGTTGACGTAACTCCTTATTAAATAAAATCGTCAGGTAATGATTTTCCTATCCTATCAACGTTATAAGATTATTTTCAATGGGAAAGGATTTTCAGAACTATTGAATTATCTTGTATCTTTATGCAACCTCCTTAAGGTTTCAAAAACTCTTTGATGATTTATCTGAAGTCTTATTTTATAAACAATATGGTGTAGACATTCATAAAGTGTTTCAGACTCTTAAATATCTTTTATCTTTTTTATTTTTACCGTAGATCCTAGTGAAATCTGTTGGTTTGGAGCAGATTATCTGTTCATTGTGGAATTCCTTTCTAGTGTTTTGTCTGCTTGATTTAGTGTTGGAAATAGCCACAGGGGAATTCCACATTTCATGGTAACCAGTGTGGTAATCCGTCCTGACAGCTGGTTAAAATCAGAAACGCATAACGAATTATGGATGGAATAATAATAATAATAATAATAATCGCATTTTATGCATAGTTTTTCCTACAACATATAATATCTTTAAGTAGGTGATTTATCTATAGCTTGTGATCGTTTCTAAATGTAATTTTCTGTGAGCAGACTAATCCTCTTTAATCAATAATTTTACTAAAAGATTTACCTAAGTAACCTAAATTCGAATATATAGATCGGAATTGAATGACTGATCATTAAATTTAATCATTTAACTCATCGACGGTTCAGTTGTAGAATGTTTGCCAGCCGTGCACATGGTCTGGGTTCGATTCCCGGTCGATGAATTTTTAAACCTTGCTTAGTTTGCTACTCGGTAGTAAGCTCAGAAAACTGGAAAGCTTGAGAGGGAGGCTAACAAGTCCACCGCATAAAAGGCATTACTGCCCTGTGTTCCACTTGGAACGCAAGGAATGAAGGAGAAATTAAGTCTAATAATAATAGTGATTTACTTTATTTCAAAAACAGTACCTGTAATACAGAATGGAATTCTCAGCATTTGTCACAATATTGCATCTGATTTACTCAAAATATAAATAAATTAAAAATTAGAACAAAAGTAACCAGAGGAATTTGTCCACGCTTACGATATAAAGTCAGAAATATTCTAAACACGAATTGAGATCATTAAATATTAATAATATCAGTAATAATAATAATAATAGTTATAATAATGATAATAACAGTGCGTTTGCTTCAAACAGTATTATCGATTCAGTTAGAAAATTTTAGCATGTTACTATAGAGTATTGAATCTAATGTTCTGTTGATGTAGTATAATGAGGGGAAATACAAGATTAACAGTGGTAACACAGCTTAAACGATGGTCACAATTATGAAAAATAAATAAATAAAAACAAAAAATTGATAGGATTATAAATATAAGAAATACAATAACAATCAAGTTTGGTACTGTAAGGGTGGGGGAAGAAATGGTTTATTTAGTAGTGCAAAGAAGGCTACTTAGTTCATGCCTGACACCATTTTTGTCGCATAAAGTACGTGCTAAATATGGTATAGTGAAATTTTTATACTTAGACGTACGTGTATAAAGTCTTCTGAAAAGACTTCTTGTTTTATCTGAGGAGACATAAGGTTGGAGCTGCGAGTAGAGTGGCTGCCCAGAGTCTGACAAAATTCCTTTAGCAAATTTGTTGCATGACATCAAATGCCTATCAATGAAAATGTCAACAATATGGCCCAGTGGGATACCACTCACCCTATTGACTGACAGTCTTCAGAGTTCTACGAAGTATGACATAGTCTTTTTTAAGTAATCCAGGAAAGAATAAGCAAGGGTGAACAGTAAAGAAGAATAGGTAAAATACACGAGTTGACAAACTGTAAGAGGAGTGGTTGGGTTATGCCTGAGTGCCTCAGCTTCTTAATGTAAAAAGTCAGACGAAATATTCTTTTAGAAATCGCTAAGACATTGGAAGATCAGGATAGGTCAGAAGAAAGAATTAATCCAAGATGTTTAACTTCAGACTCGATTTCTATATCATCAATTTTGCAAGGGCCATAGGAACCAACGGTTTCATTTGACTTTCGTTTGCATCAGAAACTGAAATTGACAGTCTGACATTAGGAAGGATTTAGTTTAAGGCCATTACACGAAGACCATTTGGTAATTCCTGATAGAAAGCTATTTACCTTAGCACAGTCAAGCCGGGAGTTAACAGACGTTGAAATAGTTAGATCGTCGGCATACTTAACGAAGTTCATTTCATCAGAATGAGGCAAATCATGCAAGAAGAAAGAAAACAGAAAAGGAGAAAGGACAGCTCCTTGAATGACACCAGTCTCAGTAAGCAACGAAGTGAACGACTTTCCCTGACACACAGTGTACTGCTTTCTTCCTGAGAAATAACAGTCAGTTTGAATTTAGCAAGCTTGTTTAACAAGATGTCCCTAGGTACTGAGTCGAAAGCAGATGTGTAATCTAGGAAGGTGCAGCGAACAAATTTAGCCCCCTTGTCTAAGCTTTAGACAATGTTATAGTACAAGACTGCAACTGCATCTAAAGTACTTCTACTGTGTTTATAAGCGAATTGTTTGGGATCGTTAGAGGCTTTAAGTGAAGGTTGAAGGTTA